CCCCCACAAACAGCCAAGAGCAATATTCCGAGGTTGGTGTCCTCCAGGTCGTTCTCAAAGCAGCACTGAGAAAAGCCCCCTTACTCATGACCTGGAACTGCGTAAAAGCCAACCCAGAATCAATCCTGCTGCCCTCCTGCCATCACTCTTCATCAGCTTTCACTCTGAGCAGTAACTGTTCTGCAAAAATGAGCCCAGTTCCCTTCAACTCCCCATGCATACGGCTGTCTAGTTCTCACCAGAACCCAGGACAGCTGGCCAGATTCTGGAGATGAGTATGAACACTGACCCTCTTTCTTTTCCTTTATAAGATATCCAGTATATTTCCTCAATTAAATTTAAAAGTTAGAACTTAAAAAAACTCAGCCCAGAGGGTCACAACCCATAGAACAACAAGACCAAATCAGAGGGTTCAAAGAGAAGAGAAGATTATGGAAAATAAGCCTCATTTGGCAAATGAAAAGTGTTATTTTCTATCTTTCATCAAAGGTGTTGTGGACAATTAACATTTCATGCTGTGTAGGAAGAAGGAGGATGGAATTTGACCTAGTTATGATCCACTACTAATAGCAAACATATATTCCAGTAACAAACACACTATTGTTCATGAAAGAACCCTAAATTAAAGGGTGATTTTCTATCCAAATAAATGCAGAAAAGCTGCCAAAGCTGTCCTCTGACTCCCAATGATCTCATTTGTTTTCACCAAACAATATTGAATTTTTTTCAAATTAATCTTTTCCCCAGTTATTCAACTATAAGGATAAAAATATAAATGTTATTAACATAGAAATACCTCAAAACTACACTGAATACTTGCTGGAGATGAATTGGTTATCTTTTACTTACTTTTTTGTCTTACAGAATATTCTATCTCCATAAAACTAAGAACAATTTGATTAGCACCCTCCTATGTGTACCTAGCACATGGATTGGTAAATACTGTTGAATGAATGAAGGAATGGAACATATGAGATATCTGAGTAAAGCAAACATGAACACATCCACAACCTTCCTAAGAGCACTCTAGAAATAAGATTTGTCATATTTCTGTCCTCAGGCTAACCTATTCTCCCACCTTCTCTTCAATGTCTTTTTCAGGGGAAAATAAGTAGAAGTTAAGATAGAATAGTGTTACTTTATTGTCATTCCCCTTACCTATCCCCAAGCAAGCAACAAACAAACACTTATCACAAATAGTTTGAATTCAGCAGCTCTGAAGGAAGCTTAGGAAGTTGCACTCTGACAAGTTCCCAAGGTGCTCAGGGTGGCCGGTGACATCTCAGAACCTGTGGGTACCATGTCTTCCCTGGAACCTCCCCACACCAGCTCTCTGCAGATGGGATAGCTCCTACTCACTCAAAGAGATGGGTCACAGCTTCCAAAAGCCACCTGAGGCCTATGCCCAGTCTGTGGCAAGCAGCTGTCCTCCTCATTTTCCCTGGGTAATGTCCCCCAGGCAGTATCTCTCCATCTCCTAAGAAAGCAAGCTCTTCAAGGACAAGGACGTCTAGACACCTGGACATCTGGCACTTGACTTTGGGGAACTGATACCTTGGCAACTTGATTTAACTTCTCTAGGCCTGCAGGGTCCTCATATATAAAATAAGAAAGAAATTACCTCTGCTGTGAGGAGTAAGTGATAAACCAGCTAACCCATTAACCAGCAGTGGGAAAAAACAAGTGCCTTTCACACTTCTATGACGATAGCAGGTGGATCTCAGTGTGGTGGTGCGCACCAACTGTAATTCCAATTACTCAGGAGGCTGAGGCAGACGGATCATTACTTAAGATCCAGGTTGGACAACTTAGCAACTTAGCAAAGCCCTGTTTCAAAATATTTTTTTTTAAAACAAGGCTGGAGGTATAGCTCAGGGGTAGAGTACTTGTCTAGCATGTGCAAAGCTCTGGGTTCAGTGACCAGTAAAACACATGCACACACACACATACACATACACACACACAAACACACACACACACACACACACACACAATGGACAAGGTAAAACTTTAAAATACACCAGATCACACCTTCCTGCCTGCAGGCTTCACCACTTTACATGGAAAGTCAGATGGGCCTGGCCTTCATGTGCCTGGGAGGTCCTGGGAGATCCAAGCAGGTGACACTTCTCATACAAGCAGGTGACCCAACATCTGTAAAATCATATTTCCTGTGGAAATTGTGTCATCACTGAGGAGCTGTACACCTGACCAGCACCCTAGCCTCAGGGGAAGAAGGACTGAAAGGTCCATCCAAAGGTAGGGTCACAGAGACTGACACGCAGCATATGGCAACATCTGTGGTTACTCTAAAGAACAAAGTCAGCTATGCACCTTACTTACACAAGTGGCCTAAACGGAGGCAGCACACAGAATACAACAGAAACATGGTCGCAGAATCCTACAGGGAACTTTAGATGGCTCCAGAGTAAGAGACGATCATGGAGAATGGGGTGGTAGCGCGTCTTCCCTCTTGGTGCTTTCCTGGGTGGCCGTGTGGAAACAGGAAGGAGGATTCATCTCTGAGGCCTCTGAACGCATCAGACGCAGGGTACACTGGTGACAAGGCTGACGGTAATCGTATTTCTCATAAAAATCACTCTGAGAAAGAACAGCGAGCAAAGCATCCCCCTTTCCTCTCCCAGCTTCTATTCTAAGCACAGCTAAGCCTCTGAATCTTTGCAGTACTGGGCCCAGCCCTGTGCAGACAGAATCAATCAAGTCCTAACTTGCTGACAGCCAACGGTGCTTTCTACAGTTCATCAGAAAGCATAAAAGCACTGACCACCGTCAGCAAGGCCCTTGTGGGAGTTTGACAGCATTCCTCACCC